TTACTGCATGTACCATTCCACCTGCTGCACCACCCTGTCTGATGCATGTGGACACTGCTGACGTGATCTCTGGAGCACTTTGCGAGGAAGTCCAATCAGCCCTGGCCCTTGCGAGGCCCGCTGAGGTGGGAAGCTGGGCATGGGCGTTTTTGCATGGCTACCTCGACTCTTCCACTGGAGGTGCTGAATGTGCTGGCATTCCTCCCTGCCCTTGCGAGGCCCCTTTGTGGGAAGCTGGGCCGTCTTATTATATGTCATTATCGATTTGCCCTTGCGAGCCCTGCCTTGGCAGGAAGCTGGGCCTGAATTCATTATCAGCATATACCCTGGGCGACTCCCTTTATGCTCCGAGATATTTTTTGCCGTCGGCTACCTCCTCTGGCCAAACCCTTGGGTTGCCAGGCCTATACACCACACTGGTGAGCTAATTTGTGCTGCCAACTATGCCATGGGAAAACACATGTTTGCCATTGCGCAACTCAGTTCAACTGAACTGGGGAGCGGGGCATCTGAGCGAGGGTAGCTGATAGTCTGTGCATATGCCGAACGCAGTCTGCCGGCTAAGTCTGCTAGTCGCGGCCTGTTTCACCGTTAATTGCTTCGTTTGTACAGTTTCTTGTGTTCTTGACTTTATTGTAGTTCTTGTTGGGACCGAGGGCAGCAACCTGCTGTCATTGAGGCCCGCTCACGCCAAAAAATATCAAACACTGGTGTTCGAACCTCGAGTTCAATCACTCAAACACTGGTGTTTGAACCCCAGGTTCGAACACCAGTGTTCGAACCTCGAGTTCGAACATTGGTGTTCCGTTCGAACACTGGTCTATAAGTACATAGGTTTTTGAGGGGGTGTTCGAACCCCAAGTTCGGGAACACAGTGTTCCGAACTTCGAGTTGAGGGCACCGAACACAGTGTTCAAGGCCCTAAACTTCGAGTTCGAACACCCTAGTTGTCTCCGAACTTCTAGTTCGAACACTAAGTTCAACTTCCAGCCACACGAAATCGCTTCATAGGGGCTTTTTGCGAAGAAAAGAAAAAGAGAAGGAACATTCACCAGTGTTTGAACCCCGAGTTCAAACACTAGTGTTCGAACCCTAGGTTGGAACACCAGTGTTCGAACTCCGGGTTCGAACGGCCTCCAAGTGTTTGAACTGGAGGACAATTCTTTGCAGCTTGTGTGGTCACGACTGCGTTGGAGCAGGCCAAGACACAGTCAAAGTTTCTGACAATAAGGTGTGATTCTTTAGTGTTTTCCACAAACCCACTTCTGCGTGCGGAAATTGTCAAAGTTGTGGTGATGTGTAGGAAGCTTCCAGAGTGAAAGGCTTGGTTGTTGCCACAGGACCACAATGATCGCGATACTTGATGGATCGCTGGCGACAATATGACTGGCGATTCCTGTATGCTTCAAGGAAGAGTGCATGGAAGATGACGCCGCCTGGCGCAATCAATTGGAAGAACAGGCTGGACGTTCTGGCAGTAATAGCCCCAGTTTCAATCCAGGTTCGTCAGCCAGGTTTCAACGCAGGTTCCAATCCTGGTTCCAACCCACATTGAACCCGAACGTTCAACCGAACCTGGGTTTTGAAGATTCATGTCTTCTGTTCGCGTTTTAGCACCGATTTCGTGGGCATTTTCTCTTCGCTTTTAAACCATCTTAGGCGTTTTTTGTGTGGCATCTTTTTTTGAAGGCGTCGTTGACTTCTTTTTGTTCATTTTCGCTTTGCGCCGCCCCTATTGCGCTTCGCTTTGCCAAAGATTTTGTGACCTTGTGTCTCTGATTAGAACCTGGATTTCAAACCTGGGTTTGGAACCTGGATTTGACCTGGGTCAAACCTGAGTTCATTAAACCCGGGTTCCAAGCTTGGGTTGGAACCTAAGTTTCAAACCTGGGTTCAAACCTGGGTAATAACCTGGTTTCAAACCTGGGTTTAACCCGGCGTTGAACCCAAATTAAAACCCAGGTTCAAACCCAGGCTCAGCCCCGGTTTCAAGCCTGGGTTCCCTGGGTTGTTGTTCCGTACGACTGACATGCATTGGCTCTTGTTCTTTGTGAATGCTTTGATGCAACATGCACAGTCAAGCTGACAAAAAGTCTGCAGGTTAGACAAGACTGCACAATTTCATCACTTTTTTGACAGTTTTGATTTCTGCTGGTTTCTTGTAGTGTTTCCTGTGGTTCTCCAGGTTTTCCAGCGTTTGCTTTGGTTTTCTATAACAAAAAAAATTAGTTCTAAGAGTTTCTGATAGTCTGGTTTTCTGGGTTTTCATGGTTTGCTTTGGTCGTGTTTTCCGTGGCCTGCTGTGGTTTTCCCATAAAGTCCGGATCTTCAAAAGTGAAGAGGTTCCCTCGCGGGTTTCTGATGGTGTTCGAGGTTTCGTATGGGTTTTCTACAGGTTTCTGCGTTCTGGTCTGTGGTTTCGTCCTGTGAGCTCTTTGATATATGCTGCGGTTTGTTATCTTTCTCTGGACTATTTGTTCCCATTGGCTGTTTATGGTTTCCAAAGGTTGCCGACGGAGTGTGGCTTCCCTCCCCCCCCCCCCCCCGCGGGGGAAGGGAAGCCAGAAACCCAGGTTCAAGGTTCAAACCTGAGTTAAACCGCAGAGGGGGGACCAGCCTCGAACACCCTGCAAAAACTTTCTCTGCTTGTAATAGAGGTCTCTGTGAAGTGAATGCACTTGTTCACGGTTGATTCGTCTCTCGTCTTTGACGGCGAAGACATTTTTATAGATGATCCTCAAAAGTAGAATTCTGGACCACTTGTCATCCGAAACGTTGTGCCTTTGGGCTTGCAGGCACAGCTCACATTTTTTCTGTGTTTTCACAGATCCACCTGCTCTTGCTTCAATTCTCAGTCTTGCACCAATGCTTTCTTTGAAAAGCCATCTAGACATGTGCCATGAGCAATATTTCGCAAGTCTGGTTCGAGAATGTTATGATAGACTTGGGCAGTAGTTGTGACTTTTTGCGACATCCGCCTGCAGGCGACTTCGCAACCTGCTTTTCTTTAGAAATTCGCTTTTTTGACAGCCCATGGTTCTTTTAGCACGCCATTTGCAAAACTTTCCATAAAAAGCTTTGTTTTTCTTGGTTTTGTCACTTTGATACACTGTTTCGAAGGTGGAGGGCAAACTGGTCAACCCACCAGCCGTTTTTTTCGTTGGACTTTTCTTGCGTGACTTCGAACGATAGTCCGCTGTTGCCGAAGCTTCAGGTCGCTGAGCGCGAGGCCCCTTTTTGACTTGCTGAACAGCTCATGCTGACAAAGTCGGCACGTTGCAGTATGCACGTACTTAACCTCGTCCGCTAGAGTATCCGTTTCACGTTTTGGTGTGTTTGTTCGTTGGATGCAGTTTTTTATTGGGACCGCAGCTGCAGCACCGAGGCCCGCAGACGCCAAAAAAACTGATACGTTACATTTTCATTTTTGGACGTTCCATGTACCACTCTTCCGTGACCTCTTTTCCGCCTTTTGCTACGCCCCGTTTCTTGCAGTCCCTCTCAAGCTTCTGTTGATCTCATCTTCAATCTTTTCGTTTTGCCCTCTTGTGGGCTTCTTTGTGTTTTTGGTTAACTGTGGTTTTGATCTGTTTCCAATTCTTCTTCTCACCTGCCCTCCACGCTATGGAAGCCACTCGACATCGCTTTGCGTCTGTTCTTGTATGAGGGGGCAATGCCCACAGCATTGCATCTTCAGCAATATCTGCGGGAAAATGAAGTGCCAGTCCGCGCTGCACTGCTTTCTTTCGTTGTAAAGTAGAGAACTCTTCCAGTCTCTATTTCTCCCTTCAAAGCTCTTTTTGCCCTCAGTCCCCTTGAACAGCCCTGCTAAATCCGACTCAGTTTCCTTTTGCCCCACAAACCTGTCCGTTTCAAAGCGCGCATGTAGGCTTTTTTCCTTAACCTTCTTCAAACCCTCCCGGAACCCAGTCATGCCCTCCGGCGGTTTGGAATCCAAGCCCGAAAAAACTTTTTCATTCCCGACGCTTGATTGACGGTTCTCGTTTGATGATTATAAGGTTGCAAACCAGGAAATTTGAGAGTTTATCGGCAATGGGTTAATGTTTGTCCAAGCTATCACACGTGTTTTTTTTATGTTGGTGCTTGAAGAACTATGCTTGCCAGTCAAACAACAAGTTGTTCTGCCGCTTGGTTTTACCAGGCGGGTACAGTCAGCGGGCTGTTGTACCATGAAGTCTGAGTCGGATGCTTGTCCTCGTTCATGCGCCAAGAGCTTGGAAGGAGGCCCTGTCAAGCATATCAGCCTTGTCGCAGTCTTTGCATTGGGTCTAATTTCGCAGGGACCCTTTACGCAGCTTGCCCAGAAAATTAGTGTTTGTTTTAGTGTCTTAATTACGGATAAAGCGAAAACGTTGTGAGCAAGCATGTAGTTTTTGTGACTGAGTTGGATTTTTTTCTTCCGAGCGGCTTGTTTTGGTGCTCTGAGCCGTGGTCTAAGGCCGTGGTTTTTTGACCTTGTACAGTTGCTTTGATTCAAGGATGTTTGCACGTCGATTCAAGCATGTTTGCTTTAGACTGGAAGCTGTCGACTGCAGCCTCTGAGGCCAACACCCAATAAACAAAACAATCAGCAAGGCACGGCCAAAGTGCAGTTGTCGCATTGCAGACTTCAACAGCTAGGCACGGACTCGATGGCAACCCGAGGGCAATGACATGGGCATGTGAGACAGCAATCCTATTGCCCTTCACGTGCTACCTTTTGATTCTTAGCTCGTCTAACTGGCCCGCAAGGGCGATCTTGCACGAACTTGCTGCATGACCTATGTAGACCTCAAGATGACATCAGAGTAGATCTTTTGCCGCTTGGAGACTCGGAGCTGCCATCCATTATTGTACTTCATGAGATGTATGCGATCTGTCGCTGCAAGCGGGGTTGGCCATGTACTCGTTTTGTGTTTTTGGTAGGTTTGTGCCTCAAAGTGTGGCTCTAGCAACAATGAGCTGGCCAGTCCGCCAAACGTAGCCTTTGCAGAGACGTCATGTTAGACTGTCGCCGCCTAAAGTTCAGTCTGCATACTCGATACGTTAAACTCATCTGTCGGCTTGTGAGGTCTGAGTGCTGATGCTTGCTTGCAGCTCGGCGGATGTTCCAAGTTGCTGTGTGGCGTAATCGGCCGGCGTGACAAATAGTTGTTGGGCATTGGGAGAATCCAACCCCTTGAAGGTATTTGGCCAGCGTCTTGACGTTGGGATCCTAGTTTCTTGAGAATGGAGCTGGGTAAGAGTTTCATGTTCCGGGTTCACAGTTAACGATCATGATATGTCCTATCTCTTGACGTGCTTCAGGCTGCTTCGTGCTGTAGGATGCCTGTGTGCAGTAGATGCCAACCAAGATTTGACCAAGCCTCAGCACAGATTCTGACCCGACAGTTTTTTGTGGGAACCACGGGCCGTGAAGTTACCCACTGAGGATTGTGGCCGGGACACCTTTGGGTGCTCATTTGCAGGCGTGCAGCGTCTGTTCGAGCCAGCAGCAAGCGAACAACCTACATGGGTAAAGCTGTCGCAAGGTGCTTGCAACATGCCTGGCCTTGGCCGGTGTTGTGGCCTCATCGGTAGCATCTTGATGCTGCAAGTGGGACTCAGCTCCTGGTTTCGATGAGGTTCCCACACTCATCATGGCCAACGTTGGCATGCACAGACATGTCGGCTTTTATGTGGATGTCTTACTTTCCCGTCTGGTTGCCAATGCCTCCTGTAGCTCTGGAACTGCACTCATCATAAACTGATGCCCGCTTGAAACGAGGTTAGATTCTTCACATATTATCTCGCTCACGCCTCAAACGTGGCATAGTCGCTGGCAGTAGGATGGGACCATGTAGGTTTGTCGCAAAGAACCAGGAGGAAGCTTCGTGTTGTGCTGCTGCTGCTCAGGTCGGATGCGTGATCTTTGACGCATTCATCGCTCTCATGCGGCCTTGGTGCATTCGGGGATCGACATGCAGCAAACCTACAACTGCCATGGCTTGCACAAAGGCTGCCGATGGGCAGCAACATGTGCTCCGTCGTGGGCTTGGCTTGGTGACTACGGCACCTAGAGCTGAAGCCGACGGATCTGATGATGAAGTCCGAAGGCCTTGGCAGATCCGTACGTCCTGCAAGCAGGTTGGATTCAGTCGCGAATGGCGGGTTGGCTCTGTGCAAGTAGGGAGCAACCCCAACAACTACAGCAGCTTGCAGGGCGTATCTTTGTTTGCAGCTTCATCAATGCTACCTATGCATTTTGGGCAATCGCCTGCAACCCAGCCTTCTGCCGTTCGTTTGCAGCTTGAGTGCTTGAGGCTTCTTGAGCTTGTGCCGTGTGACTCATGACTGTTGAGGTCTTCATTTTGTTCGAAGTTCAGCTTGTGCGAAAGGCGCAGATTCTGGCGCGCTCGCCGCTGGCCAAACTTGCATAGCATTGCAGGTGCACGAGCAGGCTCTGATCATAGAAGAGGGCGAATTTGCGCAATTGCCGCTGGAATCAAAGTCGGCCAGACTCCCCTGGTTTTGTTCTTGCCGAGTCTGAGAATCTCAGGCTTCGCTATGGGAAACAGCCAGCCGACTTCAAGGCTATCGAAGCCAGATGATCCCCAACCACGCCTCAGCGTCTCATCCCTGCCAGACTGCCAGAATGGAGAAAAGATCAAACAAGCAATTCGAGACAATCGGAGGGCTCTCAATGCACACATGCCTTGCTTGCTGAGCATTGAGACAGTACTGTCATTGACATTACCATACTCCGGCCACTATTGTGTTTGAATTTGTCGCCATGCCGTTTGGCGTGTTGAGGGTAATGGCAGCCATCCTACGAGCATATAAGTGCAGTTGTGCTTGTTCACGGAATTCTGGCATGCATGAACAATCCGGCTCAATTGAACCTCGAGCAGAGGTTGACTACACCCTTAAAGGGTTAGGAGCCGCTTGCTGAAACGTGCAGCATGACTGGACAAGAGGCTCGAGCTCCTGCAGAGTCTTGGCGAAAGCGCTAAATCTCTCGCTTCCTGCAGCCTCCAGGCCAATCCGTTGACGTCTTGGATTTCCTCCTGGGTGGGTCTCTCTGCAGCAGATTTTCTGACTGTGCTTGAAGAACCCTCGTTGCTTGTGTGTGCCGGCGCGTTTGGAGCTCCAGCGATCTTGCACGTTTTGGAAGGAAGCTCTGCATCTTCAGCATCCAAACTTCCAGATGGAAAGGCGGGTCGTCCTGCATGTGCTGACATGCTTATGACCCAACGTGCCAGGTGGAGGATGAAGACAAGTGGGAGCGTGAACGAGCTTTCGATATCGCTGACAGCCTGGAAAACGCAGATCCTACATGTTACCCTTTGGAAGGGACCGGAATGTGTTGGGACCGTTAGGGTGATGATGCTTGTGGCTTGCCTTGTCAGGGCTTGGCGCGGGAGATTGTCACGGAGTCGAATTCTCAGACTGGCTTCCCCGAGCCGCAGCACAGTTTCCTGCACTCGTGACTGAGGTTCATGCATCCCCTCCGAAGAGCTAGCAAGCTCTGGAAATTCCACGTCATCCGATCCGAGGAGTCGAATACTACGTTGAATCGCGTTGGTCCATCCGGACTGTGTTCTTTGATCCCAGACTCGCTCGTGCTCTGCTGCCTTGCGATTCTCAAGCCTGTGCGAGCTGGGTTCAATGAGACCGATCGAACCTTGTAGTGACCTGGGGTTCTCAGAGTCTTTCCACAGATAAGGCAAGCTAGGTCAGGCTAGGTGCTGTCATCTCATGCAGACTTCCTAGCCTCATAGACTGAATCACAAGCAATCGGATAGGGAAGTTTAGATTCTCCGTGACCATGACAGCGGATACCAAAATATTCGCCGCGACCTTGCCATGTGGAGTGTACCGCTAGAGCTCAAGCTCCGTCAGACTACCCTGCATGACTTCGAGGTTCCTGGAGTGTTCTGTGGATGAGTTTAAATGTCCTAAGGTCAAGAACTTGCCTTCTGACATCAAAGAGAAAGAGGTGCGGACAGCCCAGCGTTCTCACAAAATGTTTTCGCTACCTTGCCTTTTGACAGGTGAAATACATCTTCAGCAAGTACGGAGTCGTGCAAGCCGCTGATGTCTGCAGCTTACTTGTGTCTACCTGTGTCCTCCGAGCTGGAAAGATCCGGCAACAAGATTGTATGCAGCTATCTGAAAGGTGATAATGTGGCCAGGGACGCCAACGCTGTGCGTGGGCCTTTGCATGGCTTTGTAGATTTTCGTTGACATTTCTCGCAGTTCTCGCGCAGCTGCACGCTAGAGTGTACTTCCTCATCAGGTCCGAACGGGAGCTTGGCATCAGTGGAGACACCGCTTTCCAGCCGTAGCTTGGCAAAGTGTGCGCGAATGGCAAGACGGAGAGTCTGTGAGTCTGTGAGTTGTGGAAATCATCATTTAAGCTCGGCGTGCTGTCCGTGCCCAGGCCAGAAGGTGGAGTGGCAGGTGCTGTGGCGAGTTTTGAGCGCTTGCCGTGCTCTGCTGTTCGAGTCTCTCTTTGCTCTTCAGGCTTGTGCGTTCATCACGTACAGTAAGGTGGGCAGATGCTTTTGAGTGGCATCGACGCGGCATGCACTGTTTGCCCCGCTGCTGCTTGCGGGCACAGGCAGAAGCCGCCGGAACGGCGGTGAAAGCATTGAATGGTGTGTATCGCCCACGTGGCTTGGCCATTGACCTGCTCTTGTTGAAGATCGTCTGACTTCAGATTGCAAGCCGTTGCAAGCCGCAAGCTAGGCAGTTCATCACCAGAGCCACTGGCTGCTGGCGGCCCAGCTTTTGCAGCGACTCCGAAGCTGCAGGCAGAAGGTTTGAGGCAAGGACGCACGACGACGACGGAAAGAAAGAGAGGGAGATGGCGATGTCTTACGATTCGACAGGCCATGGCCTTGCACAAACGCAAGCAAAGCTTCAGACGGCGGAAGGGCTTCTTGCGTATGTGCATGCGCCCACGAGTCACTAGAGACATGAGAGCACGAGCTCCCATGTTTAGGCGAAACCGTACAGTAGGACGATGGCGTACCGAGGTCATGCTTGCTCGGCCTGGAGCGCTTCCGGACCCAGTGCAGCCACGGCCTCGCAGGTTCGTGGAGTTGTTGGAAGAAGGCTTGCTTTGCTCCCGAGGTCAGGTTTGCCTGCACCACAAGATGAGCAAGTCACGAGCTCAGAGTTGAGGTACTTCTTTCGCCTGTTTTCTGTGCGATAAACCCTCGGGCACAGCTCCCTCGCCTTAGCCTGGCCCAATGCAAAGGTCGCGGTGATTGCTAGCGTGGACAAGGCATCTCGAGTTGCACCGTTTCGCAGTCACTACACCCTGTACCAGCTGGAAAGGCCGGGAGCAACTTCTCCTCAAGCTTGCCTGCAGCCTGCGTCTTACCGAAACGTACGGATGGTGGCCTTGCTGTCTCTGGCAATGCTTCTGTCAGCTCAGTCGTACTTGGTCAGGCAGCAACTGCCACGGCCTCCTATGTCGCAGAGAAGACTCGATGCCGAGTTCCAAGTTGGATGACAGCATTGAGAAGTAGCTTCCCGACCATGCGCATCAACTGCACTGCGAGGGATCATGCCAAGATCGTTCCGGGTGTCAGCATGTTACAAACTCACTGGGACTTAAGTCATGACGGGCCTTAGCCGGCGAGAAGAGCGGTACCTAAGAGTTCGAGTTGCAAGTCTGTCAGATGTGCAAACGAAACAATGTCTCGATCCCCCGGATGTTTGTTGACCGAGCGGGATGGATACATTGCGACTGCTGTGGCCATTTGTTTGGGGTGCCTCGGATCGAGGGATGCAAGTCTCGGGCGCAGGCAAGGGAGCAAGGTTACAGAGGCTGGCTTGTCCACGATGCAGAAAGCAGCTCTGCTTCACTGAGGCAAGCTTTTCGTTGGCAATCTCCACTCCGAGATTCCGCGAGAAAGGCCCCGTCCTCGTCTCAAGGCTCAGGGTGGTGCAGGTACCGTAGCTGCCGTAGCTGGAGCCCAGCTGTGACCTAGGTTGAGCCAAGTCTTCGGAGAATGGGGCAGGGTCGTGAATGTGCATGTTCCGGACTTGGCACAGACTCCTGGTCCATGGTGACTGAGCGACCTATCCTCCCAGGTCATGACCGGGAAGTCCAAGTTCGGCAGCGCGTGTGCCTTTGTGGAAATGGCCTCCCAGCTGCGTTTCGGAGCCAGGAGCTCCAGCCTGGGCCGCCGGCTTGGGTCGCGTTGTCCAAGGCCACACCTGCCGAAGCCGAGATTGCCTTGAAGGCCGGGCAGCCCGGGTAGCCCTGCCGCTGTGCCGTCCATGTCCGCCCTGTCCCGGATTCACAGTCAAGGCACTTCACCAAAAGTACGAGCCGAGGACCGCCGGGCAACGACTGAAACATCACTGAAATGCCGGGCAATGGCATGTTTGCAGGATCGGATCCATGACTGCTCCGATTACCGTGACGTACTTCCAGCATGCTGGAAGCATTTACATCTTGAAGTTCAAGAACAGTTTGCCGACAGACATCGTTTCTTGGTACCTGCCCAGGTCTCAAAGCAGTGGAAAGGCAGCCGTGACCTCACAACGAACAGCTCTAGGGTTGTGACAAGTCTTGCCGTTCCGTTGGGGGATCACATGTCAGCAGCTGTCAGCCACCTACAACGGCACAATGTGATCGCTTGTTTATCTTTGGGTTTGCTCGCCGTGCGTTTGTGGTTCTTGGGTCCTGCGAGACCGGATGTATGTCGCATCTGCTGAGCACGGGAGCTTTGGGAGAGGATTGCCGATTTCCTGTGTCCCTGGTGTGCACAGCCGGACGAAAAAGCCCTTTCGTTCACCCGCCATCTCATTCGGTGTAACGAAGCAGCATGCTACCCACGACCAGAAGATCAATGAATGTGTTATGAGCTATGTCACGTATGTCGTTCCTGGCACTTGACATATATCGGCCAAATAATCTTGGTGCTCATGTCAGGCCAGAGGAAGTCTTTCATGAATCGGTGTGGCAGTGAGGCACAAACCCTCGGCTCACCAGCTGTGCCGGGTTTCTCTCAAGCTGGTGGGTTTTCGAGATACACGCCGTGCTCGCCTCAGACACGGTCCGGGACGTCTTGCCGCCCTGCCGCGCTCTGACTTGTCCGCTGAGGTACCAAGTCTAGCGAGCTGTGAATGGAAAAAGACGACGGCACTTCGCTTGTGTGTCTGTGGTCGGCTCGGGGCATTGTGATTCAGCACAGCACAATCATGGATGTGAAGCCTGAGCTGACTTCACGAATCTAGTAGTGCAACAGAAGCTGCTGCTTGCGTTGTTCTTGTAGATTTTTCGGAGACATGCTGCAAACTCGAGGCGCCATGTTCTTCCGACTGCCGTCGTGTCTAAGTAAGTGCCAAGATCTTGCAAGTCAGGATACAGAGAACTGCTCAGCGAAACGATACTATATTCTCTCGATCTGCTTCTAGTTGAGCTGGTTCATCATTGCCGAGTGCATGCTGGCTTTTTCCGGGTCCCTACCTGTAGTGCGGCTTCTGCATGACTCTTCATGCCATGCTTCATCAGAGCCCAAGTTGCGGTCCTCCGGCCATAGTCACAGTTCGGCGACATTGGCAATCAAAGAGCCCCAGCAAGCATACCATTACCAACATCCCCCCTTCTGCCGTGGTGGCCTTTTGCCCATGGCACTGCACGGATTGCTCAGACAGACCACAAAGGAGGAGCACCCGAGACCATACTCTTCACTGAGCATTGCCCGGGCCCCAACTCGGGCTACCGAGCATCAGCCGTCTTCAGCATGGTCATCTCGGCCAAATACCGCCCGGGGGGACGTCTCTCGGCAGAGCCATCGCGAGGGCTACAACCTGGAAAGTCAGCCGGTAGCTCGGCCACTGCGCTTGGAAAATGCCAGTGCGGATCTCATCAAAGACTTGGAGCGCCTCAGTGGCCGGCGTCCGCGTTGTCAGCTTGCTGAGGAGCTGGTCCACAAAGCGAATGACAAGTTGAATGAGTTTATGGGCTTTCACATCTACCTTGCGGAGGACAGGCAGACGATCGGCACAGATCTTGAGAGTGAGCCTTCGAAGCAGCTCAATGCAAAGTTCGTTGAGCTGGTCTCCGACATCGAAGCGGCCTTGGCAGGGACGGAGGAAGCGACACTCCCTCCCTTGACAGTTCGGCCGAACGGGACCGTCCTTGAGGAGTCTTTGGAGGCAGGCAAGAAGCTCTTTGTGGTGATCCCTCTGCCATGCCGGAGAGTGGAGGTGCTAGTGAACTTGACCCGGATCTCGGGTGATGTGCACCTTTATGGCTCAGACATTGACCAGAGGCCGTCAGCTAGCTCGGAGCTCGAAGAAGAGGGCGGTGAGCTCTGTTACCGTCACGACCCCGACATCGGAGGCAACGGCAACCGCTCCAGCGGAATTGTCAGAACAGCGCTGCACCTTTGCATCCAAGCTGACGAGCAGCAAAAGGCCAGTTTCCGTCTTCGCGTTTTTCAGAAAAGGCTGATGGACAATGGGAACCACGGGGTGGCGAGCTTGCAAACCGCATGCAAACGGGTCGAGCAGAAGCTTGCCGTGATTCGTAGCGATGAGAAAAGTCGGAGTAAGTTTGAGGAAAGGTTGAAGGAAGCCAAAGAGCACCTCAGGCAGAAAAGCCCCAGCAGCAGGGACTTCTGTCGAATCAACCACCTTCGCGCCCGAACCTGGGGAACCGACGGAGCCCGCAGCAATGGGCCACAGCGCCAGCGCCTAATGCGGCAGGCGGCAGAGCAGCGCCGGGAGCAGCTGGACTCGAAGAGAGAAGAGAGGATGCAATGGTGGCTTGATCGCCACGAGCTTCGAAGATTGGAGAAGGAAAAGGAGATGCAAAGACAACACGAGGCCATGCTCATGCCTCTCTGCTGCAGCTTAATCTTTTGCCTTCGCACAATTACATTTGGCATGCACGCAGCTCAGGGAAGAAAGACGGGCGGAGTGGATGACCAAGTTGGCGGTAGCTCGACTGCAGTCAGCTGTGCCAGAGTTCCTCTCTTGGTCTGGAAGCGAGTTGAGTGTTTGTGCGTGCACGCAGTGATTCGCCAATAGATGCATACACCACCGGATTGGCCTGTCTGAGCTATTCTGGCGAACCAAGATGGCCAGCTTCGTGATCGTACTGTTCAAGGTGGTGCTTTGATGTGCTGTGTCAGGTATCTTTGCAGATTCGGTGTGCGTCCGGTGTGCTTCCAACATGATTCCTGCCCCTGCCTGCAATGTCAGAATCCGGGGGCTTGTGGGTTTTGACCTTGACCTGGAAATCAGAAGTGCTTTGAGACTCCGCCTTTTTTGAGGGTGAAGTAGCAGCAAGCTCTCGCAGACATCAGCACATGAGGCTGTTCAAGTCTCCGCAACTAGACTTTTCGTCAGGAGATGCTAAAGTTGGAGTCAGAGTTCCTGTCCATAGACCAACCGCCCTCGCAAAAGACGGAGAGACCTTGTTGACGGAGTTTTGAGTTCGCAGCTCCTGGGCCTGCTGTCCACAGGTAAAGACTTTGCAAAGCCACGTGAAAAGAGGAAAACGATCCTCCGGACACGGTCGAAGTTTGAAGCACTTCGTCCGCTCCAGTCTCGGAAAGGGTTCGGGTCTGTTCAGTTGTTGGTTTGTTGCAGCGTCCACCACTTGCAAGGCCAGTCTTCGGACAGAGTCCAAAGCGGACCTCTCACCGTCACCGATCATTCAGTGTCCGATGCCTAGGACCAGCAGTAAGTAGTGTCTGTGTCTGTGGACCTGCCCCGAGCCGCCCGAGCCCGAGGCCAGAGGAGCCAGACGAGAAGCCGGATCATCCGGACCCAAGCCCACGCCGGCTTCCCAGGCCATTCTCCGAAACAGGTGTTTCAAAGGCTGTGTGCTTGCCAAGGTCTCGCAACAGATTCCGAAATCATCATCGACGATCTGCAAAGCTGGACGCCTGCCTGGGCCTCGTCTGGATCGTGATGGCCAGTGTGCCAGTCTTGGGGTCTCCCGTCCCCTTGATCGTATCAGGTTCCCAAAGAGGAGCCTTGATGCGCGTTCGGGCGCATCTTTGATTGCAGTTATGTGTGAGAATCTCCTCCGAAGCACACGTCGACATTCAGAGCAGCGATGATTGTCAGGTAGGACCATGCCTGTGGACCTGAGGCTGACAGCAAAAGCAGCGCGAGTTCCCATCTACGGGTTTCTTTACCTTCGGCGTGAAAAAGTGCTGTACAGCAGTTTTCGTGGCAAGAGCCATGCACATTGCACCTTCGAATGTGAAGAGCAGTGTTGTGAAAATCGCTGTATGTCGCAGTCGGCCAATCGCTCATGCACCCCAGACATCAGAAAGCAATGTGGATCTGATTTACTTGCTCTGTTTGCATGACAGATTTGAGGACAAGCTTCAGTACCGGCTGTTCTCGGATGACGGGGTGAAGACTGCCTGTTAACTGTTGCAAGTGCTTCCTTCAGCCGTGCGTGCAATGCCAGGACTTTCTGATGTATGCACGAGCAAATCTGGAGGTGCGTCTTGCAGAGCCGGATCAGTTTCGCGTCAAATCAAACAATCTGGGAACAATCGATGCTGGCACAGGCTCGGCAGGTTTCCTTCTACTTGTACAACCCTTGCGAGAAGGGTGTCAACCTGTACAATGCAGACAAGTGCGGATCCGCAGCTTTACGGCGATGCTGTCGACATGCAATGGTTCCATCTCGCCGCTGAGGGAAGTAACTGCGTCAACTCTACTTTGATGTGTCAGTCGCTGATCACAGTCAACGTCTTGTGCTCCACGTCTGCAGTCTGCAGGAGGCACAAAGTGTTCCTTCCTTTCCAGCTCGTTTTCGACGTGTTCAATTAGTTTTCGTTTCTCGAATTCTCCTGCCAAGCTTTGCATTTGCCTTATGTTGCTTGCTTTCGGGTTCGGCTGCATTTTCCTGATACATTCTTTCCCACGGTTGTAGAGCTGTGTTGTCAGCTTCAAGCTCACAAGTGTACTGTTGGACAGCTGACAGATCTTGTTCGACCTGCATGCACGTTTGATGGGGTTCCAAGTTGCCAAGATTCTGGATTTCGTTGAGGGTGCCCGCGGAGCTGCTTGCGATCGTCTCGACCTTTGATGACTGCCCAACTCGGATCCCTGATTTCGTTTATGAAGGTCTGACACCTCTAAACCTTGGACATTGAGTGTCTCGAATGACGGATCCGATATCCTGGCTCGGCTGCTTCCGAAGATTCATGCTTGTTCTCGGCTTTCAGTCTCCCATTTTCTGTGCACTCCTTTTATGCTGTCACAGCCCACCGTCACAGCTATACGCCGATGATGGCCGATGCAGCATTCACCAGAAAGTACGCAGAGGTATTCTTTCGGGCCGGGAAGTGTTTCGACCAAGTGGCTTGCCATCGTTGTGCAACAGATGCGCTAGGGACTGAAGGCCAATGAGCATTCTCAACACCAATTGCACGTGGGTCCCCGGCTGTAGGCGCATTAGCGCAGCCGCGAACTGGAACTGCTACAGTCCGGTGAGCATGCCGATGCACCGGCCAGTGGTGATCACAACATCCGCCCTACACCGCGAAGGGTCCGGGTTGTCGGAGCTGTATCAACGATGGCTAGTAATGTCGCCTGTGCCAGTTACCTATGTGATGTATGCTTGCTGCATGCCCAATCATGCCCTGATACTGCATGGCGACAGCATCTTTGCCTGAACTACGATGCCTGTAACAGATGACGTCTGTGAACATGTCTTTATGCCCACCTGAAGCCGCGAGAGAGCAACTTTCCAGCTCCAATTGCTGAGGCCAGCTTTCTCCATGACGTGGAACGCAGACTTGGGCTCAGCACAAAGGTGATGACAACATTGACGAGTGATTGTGTGCTTACCTAGGACAGGACAGAATGGCGAATTATGCAGGAAAGGTGTGAGAACTGCCAGCCCCACTGACCCGTTGTGGGCCAGTAGAGCACATCGCTGCGTTGAGTGGAGACTGCAGTCGCCTCTGTTGCCTCACGCCAGGTTTGCACCAAAGCACCAAACCTGCTCTTGTTACGGAAAACAGCAGGCCGACGGTATTTGGACGAAGCTCAACTGGCTGTGGCACTCTGATGTGCTTGGAGGTCGCATGGATCCGGCATCACAGGAAGCCTGTTGGTGATGGCATCTTCAATTGCATGGAGATTCACGTCCTGGCCTCGGCAGCTGCAGCAAGCCGTACTTTGTGTCTTTCATCCCATAGGTGCCGGGATTGTATTCGGATGGCAGCAGAGTTGCTCACTGCTCAGCGAAGTGTCATTTTTGAGCCTACTGGTTGCTTTGTGTGCCCAACCTGACAGGTCTGGTGTCCTCTTCTTGGCAGAGGGGACCTGTCCGTTCCTGTGGATGAAAACTATGAGGTCCTCTCTACCTGTGCCCGTGATGGGGGTCGGATGTTGCCTAATTATTCAAGATGTTGTTTTTAATTGCAGGCTCAGCGATTGATCACCAAGCAGCCGTCTTGGAACGACGAAGCCAGGTCCTGAGGTTCGCAGTATAGGAGCTACAGGGATTGCTTTATTGCCGTTTTTCCTTTAAGGTCGAGAGCCTTGTGCTGGATTTCAAGGGCCGGCATATCCTTTCTTCTGCGAAGAACTTCCAACTTGCCCTGCCCGGACCCTCAGCTGTGCTGTGTCGCCTGCGAAACGACAGGGAATGCTTGATGTGTTGAGCGTCCAGGTCGCAGAAGCCTGAGCACGTCCTTTGCCAGCACCATGCTCAGAGCAGGACTTGCATCACCCAGGGTAGCTCTGGACTGTATGCTGTGGCTGAGGTATGGCAAGATTGGTCCCCAGACATTTAGCTTGGATTTCAAGCCTCTTGGTTGACCACAGAGTCCCTAGAGATGAGAGATGTTGACTTGTCACCTGCAGGTATCCACTCAGCGTGGTCCAGGCCTTTGGCATCTCGTTAACGACTCTGTTCTGGACTTGATGCCGGAATCTCAACTCAGGTGGTCATACATCGTCCATACAGGCCACAACTACCTGCTTGTATATACATAGCTTGACATCGCCATGCTCACAAACTTGTACACATACATACTCGTACATACCAGATTTGTCTCATCTTACCGGTCATATATGAACGCATGGGAAAGAAGGTGGATGTTGCAGCTTTTGAGGCGAGCATGCGCCGAATGAGCAATTCAGCTTGAAGCCTCCAAGCGTGTTGGACATGCCACAAGTTGCAGGCTTTGAGATGTAAGGCATCCCAGACTGCCCATTGCCCAAAGTCGAGTCTGTGAAACACGTAGCCGGGCGGTACTGTATGGTGCTTGAGCCTCCGGAAAAGCAATGCCATGGCTCTCAAGGTCCGGATGACAAATCACTGCAACCGTGTTCCAACCAGGTCTAATTATTGAATGCTGCTGCAGTCCCCTGTGGCACGTGTGCTGCCGGCAGTCGCTTTTAACGTTCCACTGCAGACGGTTTACATCCCAGGGCTGTTTGTCAGCGTCGTTCAGGACGACCAAGAGCGAAATGGATCACTCAAAGCTATAAAGATGCTTTCACGGCTATGTTTCCAGGTGGGGCCTTGTTCGATGCTAACAACACAAATCATTTGTTACAAGTCAAAGCTCAAGCGCAGTCGAGATTGCCTCCTTTCGGGTGACCCACCCAGGCTTCGGCCACTCGAGGTAATTGCTCTTGGTAATCTCTTTGGCGTCAATATGCGGTGCTCATTTTCTAGACTTGCTCACATTGGCAGCGGCATTGTCTATAGTTGGTCTCACTTGATTGTATTCTTGGGTGTTTCGGATTGCGTGCACAGCGATCGTCGGGGGCTCAGCTTTTGCCCATGGGAAAAAATTGGGAGAAAGCCCACGTGCTGGTTTTACATGTTCTGGGAAAGAACTGTGGAGGCTGTCGAAGCCGGCAAGCACCCCGCAACTCCAAAATCACAAATGTTTGCAGTCGTGGCTGCACCCAACCGAATCATCTGTCGAAAGACCTTCATTTTAGGGCTGTTCCAGCTGCAGAATATGCTACAGTCCTGTACCGTTCAGTGTTGCGGCCAGCCGTGCTTGCACGCCGCCGTGCAATCATTCACCGAAAGCCGACGGCTCAACCAGAAAGAACCCGACACAACAGGTCTTTCAAGTGCGTTATCTGAACAAAGTCAGCTTCTCCGAGGTCAAGTTCCTTGATTTCCTGCTCCCGAGGCTCGGACTGGCCAATAGACGTTGGCCAAGTCTTTGCAGCCCAGGGTTTCGCAACGCTGAGTTCAGGCCATTGCTTAGGCAAAAGCTTACGGTAGAATGCCAAGCCGAGAACTCAAGCTCGTTGTGTGGCTGGGCGTTTCCCGGCCATACGTCGCACCACATTTGCAGTTCGACTGCTTGCACGGCTTTCTTTCATATCCGTTTTTGCTACACCAGCAGCAAAGGATTTTCAGATCGGGCTCAGATAGCAGCATAGAAAACAGAAGGCTTTAGGCTTTGTGTCGGCGGATGCCGTCAGACAATGCCGCTGCTTGCTGGTGAGCGAATTCACCAGGCTGCAGGGCACCAGCCTCGACCGCCGCCTTAGCGTCGCTCCTGCCGCACACAACTTGCACATTTCTGCCATCCTAAAACAGAAGCCCAAACAGAAAGACGGATCCATGCATCTGAACATTCGCCGGCCCCATACTCGGAAGAGATGGCGCTGACAGTATGCTGTGGTGCGCTGAGCGACGACGATGAGATTCTGGATGTTTTAGCAGTTCCAATTAAGATCCGGCAGATGGATGAGCGAGGGCACTGATGTGCATGGCCTCGCCAAACCCACGTAACTAATGACAGTGACAAATCCAGATTACCATGATTCAGCTTACTCTTGCCGGTATTGCATGCAGGATTTTAAAGCAAGTACGGAGCTTTGTCATGCTCCATTGAATTTCTGCCACTTGTAGTACCAGACAAACTGGTGAGATAGGATTGTCCACGCATCTCGAACTGTTTTTCTTTTCCTGATCTTGGCAGCCCCGGTTGCAAGGGATCTCTGAAAAATTCACTGTAATGGAGCCTATAGTCTTCTTGCCAACCGCGGGCCGCCCGGCGCGATAGTAGCAGACGAGTCGCTTGATGCGAACTCCACGACTCCGAGAGTTCCAAGTTCCTCGGTTCGCGGCTTCCTTCACGTTCACGCGGCGCAGTCGTCTCGCACAGACCAAGGTTTCAGCTGTACCTGTGCTTCTGAGGCCTGGCTCGAGCAGAATCGCAAGTCCTCCAGACCAGCTCTCTGGGCTTTAGACCCACCATGGACGCGACCATGGGGAGCATCGCCCCGACGGGGCTGAAGGGAAAGCTCGCGGCCCTTGAGGTCCGATTGCCCCGCTTTTTTTTTCAAGCATTGTGCAGCTGAACTTGCAGCATCCTGCAGCTGGCAGGATTTCATTTCTATGCAGAATGAAGAGCTGGCTGCGCAGCGCCAGGAGCTGGCTTCGAGGAGCTTCTGCTAGAAAGTCCAGCCCAGCTGCATCGCCCGGTCAGGAAATTGAGAGCCTCCGTGGTGACAAGGCTGGCATCGAGGCCGGGCATCACAGCATGGGCTCAGTGACAACGGCTCGTACCTGTGGTGATGTGGCCAGGAGCACTACCAGGGCCAGCTGCAGGAGCTGAAGAAGACCATGGTCGGGGACGTGCAGCGCCTTCAGGAGAATCCCACGGACGTCTGGTTTGCAATTGCTCTCCTGGCCTGAAAACTCGGTGCCGCAAGGATGAAGTGAAGAGGCACTTTGCGCAGCAAAAGGCAGAAAATGCTCGCCGGCCTCCGCTCGCTTTTGAAAACGTTGGAATGGGTTGGCGCGGAACTCATCTAGCCAGGCCTGCAACAGCAAATCACGACTCTGAAGGGTGAGAAAACGCCGCAGCCTTGGCATCGCCTTTGGCCTTTGGTCAGTGCAGCTTTCGGTGTCTAAGAAAGGTCCTTGCAGCAGCAGATCCTCGGGCTTCAGCGGCGAATTCAAGAAATCGAAGAGCAGGCCCAACCACCTGCAGAATGCGCTTTTTGCCTTGCCCCTGCACACGGTGAACAAATGCAGCAATAACAGGTCGGTGCTGACTAGACAGCTGCACGAGGCGACGGGTCTCGGGTCTCTCGTCGGAGGGCTGGCGAGTCTAGATTTCAGTTGGAAGGTTGTGGTGCTCGTCGAAAGATGCGCTCCTGAACCACCAATAATAATTGCAAGTGTCTCACCCGCATGGACCTACAGTCGTACCTTTCTGCAAGCATTCGGGCACATGACATGGGGCTTCTTCGAGCATCGATGTACGATGAATCACAATTTACCTTCGTAGTCGAGTGTGTTCGAGAAGCACTTGCAGATGAGGGATCGCTTGGGCGTTTCCCGGGCGCACCGTGAAGTTGCACTCCAGTGCTAAGTCTCGGGCTTCGGCAACTGAAGAGCTTTTCATGACCAGTCTAGTATGATGAAGGAAGGAATGTCAGGCTCGAGCTGCGTCAGCAATCTGTCCCGGTGGCTACACCGACACCTCCAAGAAACCGGAGGTAGGTGCCTACTCCTCACTGTTCACACGATCTACGGTGCAGCCGCTCATGCATCTCCGAATGCTGCACCTTTTGCCATGCCGAGCAGGATCCAATGAATTGGGATCTTGCTTGACGTTTGGCCATGAAAGAGATAATGACTCGAGCTGACCAGAGAAATCCTGGACTGCAGCTTGACGCCTCGCACCTCGACAGGTCGCGCAGAAAAAGGGTGCAGTAAACCGGAAGCTTGCCATGCTCAGCCGGTTTCCGAAGTCAGCTCTGATCATGCGACTCAACGACTGCAACCTGGATCAGCAGAGAGTTTTCCGACCACCGGTGGGTGGAGCTTCCGATCCTCCTCTGTCCAGGCGCATGATTTTGCACTGCAGAGCCGAGCATGATTGATCATCTGTATGTGGCGGACCAGATCTGCTGGGAGGCTCCAGCTCCAGACCCACCATGGACGCGACCATGGGGAGCATCGCCCCGACGGGGCTGAAGGGAAAGCTCGCGGCCCTTGAGGTCCGATTGCCCCGCTTTTTTGTTCAAGCATTGTGCAGCTGAACTTGCAGCATCCTGCAGCTGGCAGGATTTCATTTCTATGCAGAATGAAGAGCTGGCTGCGCAGCGCCAGGAGCTGGCTTCGAGGAGCTTCTGCTAGAAAGTCCAGCCCAGCTGCATCGCCCGGTCAGGAAATTGAGAGCCTCCGTGGTGACAAGGCTGGCATCGAGGCCGGGCATCACAGCATGGGCTCAGTGACAACGGCTCGTACCTGTGGTGATGTGGCCAGGAGCACTACCAGGGCCAGCTGCAGGAGCTGAAGAAGACCATGGTCGGGGACGTGCAGCGCCTTCAGGAGAATCCCACGGACGTTTTATTGTTCGGGACAGTGAAGATGTATGTACATCTGGCCACAGGATGAGGTAAAGCGGCACTTTGCTCAACAGAAAGCAGAAAATGCCCGTGGCGCCTGCGAGTGATTTTGGCTTAACCTCGGAGTACCAAGAATGTCTTCGAGCTCTGCCGGCGAAATGTTATGTATTTCATGTGCTTTGGCAGGTTTGCAGCAACAGATTACGACCTTGAAAGGCGAGAAGACGTCAGCTGCCCATTCCGCCATCTTTTTTCTAGATGCTTAGCAGAGCTTGAAATTGTCGGAGATATGCAGCTGATTAAGGTCCCTGCAGCAGCAGATTCTGGGTTTGCAAAGGCGGATCCAGGAAATCGAAGAACAGGCTTGCCACGAGTGAATTGATGAATTGTGGGAGTGCCTTCGCTCTGTGCACAGGTTGGTGCTGATTGAAACTCGCAGGCTGCGGATAATGCTCGGGGACCGGATGCTGAGTGTCCGAAACACGTTTGATATTGTGAAGATCGCCACGAAAGAAGGGCCTAGGATTCCTGGGATTTCAGCAGGTCGAGAGGAGAGTTGTCCAGAGATTGTGAGGCTTTCGGAGTTCGCAGCCCAAGCACAAGCATCTCGAGTTTTGTGCCCGCATGTCTCTAGACAAGGAGATGAGAGGTCAGGTGGCCTTGGTGCATCATCTATTTACTAAACCTCAAGAGTTTGAGCATTTGTTGTTGCCCGTGAGCTCGCGCGATTCTGCCTGATGTATCCGCTTACCGACATGCCCGCAGGCACTAGCTTGTGGACGTCATGTGAGATGGTTGGACTCATGGTCGGCACTTCGCTTGCTGCAAGCCGCTTAAACCGTTGAGTGCATCGGCTGGGCGATGCGAGCAATCCCGCACCGAAGAAAGGAATCGGAATGCTCTCTTGTGCGGTTTGCTGCCCAGACAACGTACGTATGTCAATGTAGCCGCCCGCAGCACATCTTAAAGTCAGTGTTAGTCCTAATACTGCTAATATGCGATCAAAATATGAATTGTGGCAGAGTTGCTTCGAGTTTCACGGACAGGCTGACTCCACACGAGTCCTTGTCCTTGGAAATGCATGAGAAGGATGCTTGCAAACTACTCGTGCTTGGGTTCTGTGAATCTTGCGGAGCCCAGGCAAACCGACTGCGTGTAGGCCTCTCTAGCGCTACTTGCTGGTCAGAAGATGAAATGCAATCGAAGACCTTGCTTTTTTGTTGAACTTGTAGAACACAGCAGATGAGGTGTGGAATGGCGTGCCATGTTGTGCATATGCCGCAGCCTGGCTATTGAGCACAGCTAACGCCTCACGGCCGTTTCCAAGACTATGTCTGATGACGACCTGGTACAGGTCCACAGCCGGCAGCCGCAGCTCCTTAAAGCATCTTATTTTTTCTATTCGGAGCTTGGAAGGTCGGGAAGGCCCTGAGCTCACTCAAAGACAACGAGCGCTTTCACGGGGCCTCCTACTTAGAGGCTCTTGCTACAGCGGGGTTGCTGAGGCTGCCTACGAACACCGTTCCGCTCTTGTGGTCAATCTGTGCCTAGGTCTTGCAGCAGCCTTCTGTGTCGAAGGCACCTTAGCACAACGAAGAGAAGTGTCTCAGATGAAAGAAGGCGCCGGCATGAGCACAGGCTGTCCGACATTGGGCTGGCATAGAGCGGCTCTCACCTGAGGACGGCAAAGCAGTAAAACTTCCCTGCGATAAAACCTTTCTGCGAGTTGAGAGCTGTGTGCAGGAGTGCGAAGACTGGCAATCGGACGGGCAGATCATGTTCGTTCTCGCTCCTTGGCATGAACCGTCGTCCCAGGCCACTATTTGCCCGGAGCTTGCGTGAACTGCAGGCAGAGTTGCGTCGCCAGGACCCAATTGATTCAGCAGGTAGGGCTTGACTGAGACTTGCTAATGTCTGGAAGGTTTGGAGCATTGCTGCAGAAAAGCAGGAATGAAGGCAAGGATTCAATCATGTGTCTTGTCAGTGAATCCAAGGTTGCCACAATTACTGCGACGGGATCGTTAGTAGCCAGAGTTTGAGATTGGCAGGGATATCCAGCAGTAGGGCAAAATCGGCAGATTCAATATAGTGAGTTGTTGCGGAAAGCTGGATGGACAGGAGAGCAGCCCAGTCATAGCAAAAACCTGTGAATGCAGCCGCGATTGGAAGCTTGTGCCTCAAGAAGGGGTGTTTCGAGCGCCGACTCATAGTTATGCTCTGGCAGTTGGTAATTCGAAGTCTCTGCTTCAGGGTTTACGAGTCCACCAAGTTTCATAGTCACAGTAACTAGTAACTGTTTGACTTTAAAACCTTTTCGGTTTAGCCTCTGCCTTGTCATGAGGACAGGCCCAGTGCAGCCTCGGACAACCCTGGCAGATGCCATAGCTCAACTCAAAGCTGCGAGGACACGCTGCATTCAGCCAATTTCTATTGTGGCAGATAAAGTGGAGGATCCACCCAGCAAGCGGCAGAGGACTGAGGAAGGTGCAGCCACAAGGGCTCCAGATTGCAAGAGCATCGACCCTTCAACTAGAACGTGGCAGCATGATGAGCCTGCACCGGCGAAGCTTGCTGGCGAAGACTGGGAAGAGCACCGCTCGAAAGTGGGACTCCAACTGATGGGGGAGATGCCCAGCGCAAATACTTCATTGAATTATTTCCTCAAGGATGAGTCCAGGCGGAGCTTTGCTGCCCACTTGGCAAATCCTTTCGGCCAGCAGTTTTGCGCGTCCTGGTTTGCTAAAGTGCGGGTTGGTACGAAGTGGCTGCAGCCAAACTCATGGTGGGGACCAATGCCTCGAAAAACGGCCTGGATGGTTGCCAAAGGACATACTTGCACATACGAGTATGGTGGAATGGAAGTGCAGCCAATAGAGTATCCTGTTTGGATGATTGAACTCATGCAAAGTGTCATGCCTCACTGCGGCCTGACGGAAATCAAGGACATGCCCAACAGCTGCAACCTGAACCTCTATGAAGATGGCAAGCAGATGGTAGGTTGGCATGCAGACGACGAAGAGCTTTTTCAAGGCAAAAGCAAGGACTGCAGGATCATCTCCTTGTCCTTGGGAGCGTCCCGTCAGTTCGAGTTGGAACTCAACTGGCCTGGACCGGATGAGTCGATCGGAGTCGTGCAGACACTTTCTGATGGTGACATCTGTACAATGGAAGGCATGACGCAGAAGCATTTCATGCATCGTGTGCCTGAGGAAGAGACGCCTGTCGGACCACGTATCAACTTGACTTGGCGATGGATTGCCAAGCCACAGGACTCCTCTAAGAAGCAGGAGGAGAAGGTGTAGGTTTGTGTGCCGCCAGGGACGACCCGCTGGGCAAAAGAGGGCCGCCGTGAATGCTAGTTGCTACATGATGGTCAAACGACCGTATTCGGATTGCTTGCCTGTGACAGGTGCCGTTGCACACGGTGCTCGCATGCGAGGATGAGCTGCCTTTGCCGGATGGCCCCTCGGTTTGCTTAAGCTCCCTTCGTCGGCTTGCCCGCTGCCTGTTGCTCTGATGCTTCTTGGACCGAGACATCATCGTGCACAGACCCCAGCCGACCAAGAGCTTTGACCCTTCTTCGGTCGGAAGATGTAAATGGCACAACATCCCATGCCCTTCGGCTGACCGGCAAGAACCAATTCGATCTCGAATTGCGCGTCCCAAAATCTTGATTCTGCTTGAAGCAATCCATATTTTCAACCGTGAACCTGCCTTGACTACCTCGGCTTGTGCTGAAGTCAGCTTGGAGCAACTCCTAATCGAGACTCTTTTTGCGATCCCTCCTGAAGTTTCCGAAGATGTCGTGATTCTCGGTCATGCCACAGTTACGTTTTCGTGCTCCGCTTTGTTTTGAGAGAGACGGGGTCGTGCCCATGCTCTCGACTGCAATTTTTGTTGCGTTGGTTATCTTCCCTGTCGCGATGCAGACTGATACGAGTAGGTCTGATAGGTATCCTTCCTCATTCCCCACTACGCGCATGGTAAGCAGCGGTTAGCACTTTACAAGTCTCGACCATGTCAACACAAAGAGTCCAGTCCAGAATGCTGTGACAGGAGTTCGGGTCGCTTAAAAAGCAAACCCAGGAACCCCATGTGCGATGCAAGCAAGTTGTGTTTTGGTTGGGAGTGAACAGCGTTGATCAGGCTACATGCCTACGATTTTCAGTTTCTATCCTTCTGAATTCTGAACGGCAGTACAGAAAGCCGCGAAGTCTGTTATTGACGTGCTGTGACCAACACTGTTTTCGCCATGGGTGGCTGTAAGAGAAGTCGGCTTCTGATTGGAGCTGTCAAGGAAGGAGACTGCGTGGTGGAAAGCTTGAGAGCCCCGCGGTGCAATCGACACTGGAGGCAGCGACTCGCGAGAGTGTTTGACTGTTAAGCTGCACTGCTAGACCTCGATGTGCCGATGCAGCTTGAAATCCCGAAGTGCCTTCGACATGCTACGTTTAGCTTCTGATTCTAAAGTGTCTGAAAGCACAACGAGTGATCAGCAATTGCAGCGCTCCGGCCGAATTTCTGCAGCCTTGCAGGATTTGCCAGATCTCCCGCCTGTCGATCCTCGAGCATGGAGGTCGCGCTACTGTCCCAGGTGTGTGTGCAGAGATTGCACCTCGCAGGAGGACCCTTGTGTGGCAGCTTGTCACCATGGCCCGATGCAAAGACAACCGCAAGAGAGCTGAGTTGGGTGTGGTGATCTGGTGGAGGGTGTTGCATGATCAGGTTCTGGCAGCTGTGCTGGCACGCGTAGGTCCAGCGTCTTGATCGGCCCGAGATTTCTGGAGCGCCGTGCAACTCTGCCAGGCGTTTGGTACCAAGAGGAGGAGTTCGCAAAGCTTGCGATGAATGCGACCGGTACAGTCGACACCCCAGGACCGGGTGGTTTCTCTTGAGTGTGAAGCGAGTGCCGTCAGGTCAACGACGCAGAGCTATGACAAGATTTCTGCTTCTAATCCCTGAGTTTAAAGCGGCCTCGGGCCGCTGCCGCCTCGGACTCGTGACTTTCCAGTGGGTGCGGCGGAAATGCCGCGACCTGGAGAAGACGTTGAACGCGGAGCTTTGTGGTCTTCTGTGATCCCACTCGCTAGCTGCCACTACTAGTAGCTCTTTCCCGAAGAAAGCCTTCCCGTGGACAGCCTGCAGCCAGAGCGACGCGGACAAATTGATGCTTTGCAGACCACGCACAGATGCTGCAGCAGTTGGGCAAAGTCTGTGTCGGATGCTGTCACCATGTGCTTGGTCCGATTTACGTTCGCTCGTCCACCGGTCGGCTCGTCCAGGTTTGCCAACTACGTCCATTACTAGTCAGGTTGAGCTGGAGTTTCTTCTCTAGCTTCGCAGGCCGGACATGGCGTTGAAGCCCGCAAATCCGCACTTATTGGATGCTGTTGCGCAGCGACAGTTGCGTCCCAGTGCCACTGGGGTCATGTGCAGGCTCCCCCTTCGCGTATCCATGGCCAAGAAGAGTAAGGCTTCAAGTGCATGAGATTTTGGGCGATGGCTGCCATTGTCATTGTTGATTCAACAGGAACCCAAACCAGTAATTGTCAGAGCCTAAGGTCTCATTTCGGTGTTCGGTATCCAGGAAAGCCGCTTTTCTCACCTCTCAGGATCAGGTCCTTTCCTGGATCTCCATCCTGGCCGGCCTGACTGCCCTGGTTTGTCTCGTTCCGAAGGTTCCGTCGGGGCCCTGGTTTCCAGCTCCGGCGATGTCGTTACACCATACTGACATACTGTATGTGTACAGTCTGAATGTATGCATAACTGTGTATGTAATGCGTACATACGTAGGTACATACACACCTACTTACATGGACTATGGCTCGGTTTGGAACTGCTGTGACATCGGCATCCTTCTCATTCTCGCCCACGAAAGTATGTCGACGAAGCTTCAACTTCTCACTTCCTGTTGTCGGCTCTGGCTTACCTTCCGTTTTCAGGTGGTTGCCGGCGCAGGCTCTCACCTGGCCTCGCACCAGCTTGATGTCGTTGTACCCTGTGCCATGCCCCGAACTTCGAGCTCTGGCCAGCCCTCCGTTGGAGTACCCGACGGCTCGCGTATGGACGAAAGATTCTTCACTTCCCAAACAGGTCTGCGTCACCTATGTCACCTATGTCTCAAAGTTGCTCACAGCAAGTGCCTATGTTCCCTTTCTCTGTCAAGGCGAGAGTAGATTGAAACAGATAACACAGTGAGTTTGCCGTGTAAGCCAACATGACAAGGACCCTCGGCTCTCAAGAAAGCGATCCAGCACTTGTTGCAGGTACTCTATGAACGCCACATCATGCGGAGTCTATTATCATGTGAAATCAAGTGCCAGAGAAGCAGCCGAGCATGGGGAAGGCACAGCCCGGTGCAATGGGCGCCAGCAGATGTAGAGCTCATCACGGGCATTGATTTCAGAAATTCACAGACCCCAGTGACACTTTGAACGAGCAAACCGGGATCCTTTCATGTTCATCCTCTAGGTTCTGAATCGCCGCACCCATCTTCACGTTTGGAGGAAGTTTGCCACCGAGACAAAGGAGAAGCGGCAGATGATCAAATTCACCTTTCTGTATGAGCCACGGGCAACGCCCCCGAACTCGGATACATCGAAATGGACAGAAGAGGATTGTTGTGCTCTTGAAATGGTCGCATCTGCGGCAAGCAGCTTGGAGGAACAGTTCGATCGTGATCGGCTCGGCTACTTCGGAGAAGGGGGCGTGTGACCGACCTGGGCCAAAGACAAAGCCTCGTGATACCACTCCTTCCCAGCGATCTGTTCCATGACACCGTCCAGGAGATTGCCATGATTGATTGTTGACCAAGCTATGCATCTTTGAACCGCCGGTGGCGTGAAGACATGCGTTTGCTTGGAGTGGCGATGGTTGTCATCGTCGTCGCTTTCGTTGCCGTCGTCGTCATACTTTACAACCATGTCCTCCGAACAAATGCTCAACAAAGGCTCCTTACACAGTGTGTCTTTTGCGTCCATGATCGCCATCATGTCGGGTGAAGGCAAAACCTGAATGCCCAGCTTGTGCATGGCACACTTGCCGCTATGCACTGCTTGCCCGTAGCCGGCAGACGCACCCATGGCGGGTGCTGGGGCCTACAATATTCCTGCCCTGCGCAGGCGATTTGGGCCTTACATACATACATAATCATACTTACGTACATACACACATACACATCTATCCCTCCTCCCTCCCTCCCTCCCTGCATACATGCATGCATGCATGCATGCATGCATGGACACACATACATATATTTATATGTATATATGTTCGCTCACATATATGTATATACATATATAGATACCCCTGACTATATGCACTTGCATTCGCTATGCATAAACTTCAGCATGAACGCGCATACACATGCGCGCACACACACACACATATACACTCTTGCATGCATGAATGCATACAGACATGCATACCTACATGCGCACAGACATACATTCTTATATCCACAGATACAGAACTAATCCGGACTCATGTGTTTGATTTGGATTTACAAACCATCATTGTCATCTCGCCTCCACGTCACTTTGCAGTGGTCTGGATGATCATTCCTTTCATATCTACACCTCTTAGTGTCTCTACTGGCACAACAAGGCGGTACGTGCACATCGACATACCGCTCTTACACCTTACAGCAGGGAAGAGTACAAGTCAGCTGTTTTTCATACTTTCATGCAGAGAAGTCAAGATGTTCTCAACGGACCAAGCATGCTCAGGTACCGGTATGCTGAGATCTACACGGGATATCACGCCAGGTGAGATCGGCGGTTTGTTGTTTGCATTGCCCGCTTGGGGGGCTTGTTACTGCCGGCTTAGCATGACTGAAATAGCCAGCATGCAGCCAGAAATTGCACAGGTTTGGAGTTCAGAGACGGTACTCTCTGTTCGGACTCACAAACAGGAACGGGCAGCTGGCCCTTGCCTGAGCGAATGGTGCAGCGGTCGCTGTCGCTGTCTTGTTGGTCAGCTTTCAGGAATCCTGGTTCAAAGTCAAGAGAGACACCTGCATGAAGATGAAGGCCTGCACAGCCATTCTTCTGCCACCTGTGTGGACTGCAGAAGCTGCACGGTACCTATAGGATCTTGTAGGGACGACCGGAGGATCTTATCGGTTGGTGTTCTACTTGTAAGAGCTCCTGTGGCAGCAAGGAGTATGCGCAGAGCAACCCGCTACTGGCCCCGGCCCCACAGCATTTGGAGTCCGTGACGATTCAAAGAGACAGGAAAGCTCCTGGACAGAAATACTGCTTCGCAGCTGAGGCCGTCGCTGGAAGCTTGGCGGCGTCCCAGTCAAAGGTTGGAGGAGCTGTGGCGGGATGCGTGTTCTGGGACGCTTGCAAAGTCAGTCGCTCAGCCGATTATGTGTTCCGAATCGTATTGCTGCAAACTTGCAGCGAGGCGCAGCTGAACGTGAGATGCATGGAGTACACCACTATGTCGATCATCAGTGCCTGGCCGGATGTTGTTGATCCTGGTTTTTTGATGGCTGGCTTAGGAAGGGTTTGCAAGAAGATGGGCCATGCCATGAATCGTTCGCAAGGAACGAGACTTGTGGTCATATATGACTTCACGAAGTTTGTGTTGAGGCATCGCACACGGTGTCTTGCGTAGGCTTTAGTAAGAGCATTTTTTACAACGTCGGCTCCTCTGTGTAGAACCTCTGCTTCCGTTGGTAGACGGTTTCCGTGCTGAAGGAGCACAGGACATGAAGTTCATATCATGCTACAGAGTTCTCGTGACTGACTGAAATCGAGGCTTGGTTTGCATGCTGTTCCAGCTCATCGGAGGCCTCGTGAAGTGCATCGTATTTGTTGTTTGTCACTTCTTCGGTTCACTCTTCACCTGCCGCCAGCTGGTTGCCTACTGTGTGTGCCCATGATGCTCAACAGTGAAGATGACGCAGCGAAGGACAAGAAGGCACAGCTGTGGCATTGGCAGTCATTGTCATTCGAGACCGGTCCCTACGTTGGTGGGCAGGGCGCCGACAAGAAGGAGAAGGCCACGAAGAATGCCATGCAAGCGACGATGAACGTCACCATTGCTGGTTTTATGTGCTCGGCTCACTGACACACACACACACACACACACAAGCTGCGGCATGAAACGAAGCTCAGCAGAAGCGCTTCAGGTTTCCTTTGATATCTTGGGCCATGTATATGGGGCATCAGCCTAAGATGTCGGTTTGAGAGCAGCGTTGCACAAAGGAGAACTGTTGTGCTGGTAGGATGACGGACAGCATGTTCCATACGTTCAAAGCCAAAGAGCCGGTGCCTCATTTTGAAGCTTGTTTCCAAGTTGGAAATGTTGCTCTGTCAGGGCATACGCTTACGGCTACGCCTACGTCGGATCGTACATAGCCGTGTCCGCGTTTTCTTTCGCTTCACTCGGTGCGATGCTTGGAGTCTCCATGCAGCATGCACTGGCTGCAACTAGTTCGCAATTTTTCTCGTGGACCACACCTGACAATACTTTGTGTCTGCAAGGAGTCCTATGCGCTTGGCGCCGATGGGCGAAATTCGGGCAGGCACAGCGAGTTGCAAGCAACTGGAGACTTGCAGCACTCGTGATGTTTCTGGAACAGGACAAGGACGATGAGGAGGATACAACAGCAGCTGCCAACGCGAGCTTGCCGACGGAGCGCTGCTTGTGGATATTTCGTGTAGTGGTGCCAGACAGATGGTGCGAGAACCGCTGTTGTTTTCCAGGATCCGATGTTCTGAGCTTAGGCATTGTGAGATCGTGGCATCCTTTCAGTGTGGTGTTGCACTTCTGACAGATGTGGTACGTCAACTGAGGGCAGGCATGCCGCCTGGGGGTGCCCCGGGCATGCGTCACACTGAGTTTGTCACTGAAGGCTCAGTTCATGTGCTCGCTCCGCTGGATGCTCTTGTGCAAGTAAGGCCACCGCCAATGCCGCCTCCATCCTGAGTTTCCACCACGACAACCGGGTGGATGTTCACGCACTGCAGCTCAAAAAGCTGCGACGTGCTGCCTGTGAGCTTGATTGCACAGATGCGTCCTGCCATGTCCTGCAATGGGAAGGCACGCAATATGCTAGCAAACACACGTTGTCACACTCGTCAGACGGTCTATGTGCAGCCAGCTCTGCGCAGCGTGTTCGTCAGACGTGCGGCTAGGAAGAACTACAGCGAGGCTCTCATCAGGAAGCCGCAGAGCCCCTGAAGGCCCCAAGCACTGTCCGCGTGTCGCTGAAGAAACGCCACCTCTACATCCACATATGAAGCTCTCGAGAAACCAGTCGATCGAGCGTGATCAGGGAGCATCGGCGGGGTGATTTTAGCTTCACTGCTTCTCGGAGCTCATGGCGCAGACATGCTGCATGTTGGGCTTCGTTGCTGAAAGACTCTGCGTCCGCATCTGGCTCAGCATTGACCGCCGAGCGAACATGTTTGTATTTCCCTTAAACGTACTTGCCGGTTCAGACTCGGAGGCCTTGGGCTGCGGTCCGTTGTCGCTGACCGCCACACCGCGCATTGTCGCGACACACTTCCCGTCATCCGCCGCCGGGCCGCGGCCACAGCGGCTACCGCCCGAGCTAGCGACGAGCGCATCTGCGAGTTGCATCTTGCTAACCTTCCCCCTGCATCTCGCGCACTGCTGCTGTCGCAAGTTGGGCCTTTTGCTGCCCGCGCCATCACCGCCTTGCCGACGCGGTGCGATTTCACCCTCCCTAGCGCTCTGTTCCGGGTGCTGCTCCTCCGGCGCCTGCGCCTTCCCTTGCCACTCGCGCCTCGCCACTGCCGCTGCCGTGGACTGCTCGACCCGCTTGGCACCGGTCCGCGTGCGCCACATCCGGCGTGCTTGCAAGCCGAGCTCTCCCGCTTGAGCACGCTGTCGCCCGAGTTTGCCGCATTTTGCAGCGAGGCTGGGGGTTCGCGAGGCATGTGCGCCGACATGAACCTCGACTCGCCAGTCGGTGATGAAAGGCGCATCGAGGTCGTCGCCAACGGCTTCCCTCTCCCCAGCACCCCAGCACCCCAGCACCCCAGCACCCCAGCACCCCAGCACCCCAGCACCCCAGCACCCCAGCACCCCACCACCCCACCACCCCACCACCCCACCACCCCACCACCCCACCACCCCACTGCACACCACCCACCACCTAGGATTGAATCTTTTCTGGCTGCAGGCGTTGTTTAGGGATTAAGGGTTCAGGGTTTAGCGGTTTAGGGTTCAGGCGTTCAGGATTCAGGTGTTCAGGGTTGAAGGATTTGGGGTGCAGGCGCCCCTGAGTGTGTTTCCGATGATGGCAGATGCACATGCGATGGTTTTGCAGACTGTGCATGATTCATTGTTTCGCGATGATCAAGTCATACTGTTATTACGTCTCCTGTCTGATAGTGCTATTGCTACAGTGGCCAGTGTGAGTGTGTAGTACGAGTGCTACAGTGGCCGTTCCCCGGCAAGATTTCAAGAGGCCTGGATGCAAAAAGGGCTTTAGGTTCTAGGGGTTCAGGGGTTTGGGGTGCTGTGTTTTTGTTGCTTGCCTTGGGTTTCGATTTGTTAAGCGCCTGTAATTCCTTAAAGGTTTGGATGATTTTTAATCAAATTTATAGAAACATCCTAGAAGTCTATAACGAAACCTAACCCGAGGCTTGCAAGTTTATTACAAGTTTGACTCAAACTTGCAATAAACTGTCAATGATGATTGCGAGTTTGTTGCAAGTTTGACTCAAACTTGCAATAATCTTGCAAGGGCTGTTACAAGTTTGAAAAAAGCACTTTGCCTACATACATACATATATATATATATATGCGTATATATATATATATATATATATGTACATGTGTGTATATAAAAAATATATATATATACATACAGGGTTTTGTATACTTTAATGCTCTTGTGATGTGCAAAATTGCAACAAACTTGCAATCGTGATTGCAAGTCTCTTGAAGGTTTGATTGGAACTTGCAACAAACTTGCAATGACGATTGCAAGTTGGTTGCAGGTTTGATACAAACTTGCAATAAACCTTTAATGATGATGGTAAGTTTATTGCAAGTTTGTGTCAAACTTGCAACAAACTTGCAAGGTTTTTTCTGGAAAGTAGGCCAAAAAATTAGGTAAAAAAAATAGGTAAACAATCTTTGTTAAAAAAATAAATTTAATTAAAATAAAAATTAAAATTTAGGAAAAAATATCTGTAAACAAAAATTAGGTAAAAACAACTCGTAGATTTAGGAGGAAAGATATAGTAAATAAGAAAAATACAATGGATTCTAACCCAAACCCTTGGCGCTATTGGGTAGGTTTGGGCTTGGTTAGGCCCACTACTATGGCTATTAACTGTATTTGTTTTAGCATTATTACTATCACGATTCTTACTACTATTTCCACTACTATGACTAACATTCATAGTATTGCTATACTTCTGGTGGTACTATTCGTACTATTACTACTATTATTACTATTGCTAACACTACTGCTACTATGATTTTTATACTATGACTAGTATTACTGCTACTTTAACTAGTAATAATCATACTATTAAAATTAGTAGTAGTAGTAATAGTAGTAGTAGTAGTAGTAGTAGTAGTAGTAGTAGTAGTAGTAGTAGTAGTAGTAGTGGTAGTAGTAGTAGTAGTAATAATAGTACGACTACTAATACTATGATTCTTATTATTACTACATAGTGACTACTTCTGTTTAGGGTTTAGGGATCTGGAGTGTAGGGGGCTTGGTGTTTGGGGATAAGGGTTTGTGGGGTTTGGGGATTATAGGGTTTGGGGTTTAAGGTTTGGTTGGTTAGGGGTTTAAGGATTCGGGGTTTGGGGTTTAGGGTTTAAGGATTTGTGGGGTTTGCGGATTATAGGGTTCGGGATTTAAGGTTTGGTTCGTTTAAGGATTTGGGGTGTAGGGGGTTTGGTGTTGGGCTTTTGGGTTTAGGGTTGGGGGGGTCTGGGGTTCAGGGTTGAGGGGTTTAGGTTTTAAGGATTGTGGGGTTTGGCGATTCAAACCCGAAGCCCTAAACCCGTTCACCCTAAAAACCCGACTTGTTGCCGTTGAATATGCGCCTCGGAGCGGTGGCTAAGAAGTATGATGTGTTGCCGTTGTTTTGGCGTCGAAGTGGTGCCCAGATGCTAAGAAGTACGATTTGTTGCCGTTTGTTTTGGCCTCGGGGCGGTGCCAAGTGCTAAGAAGTACGATTTGTTGCTGTTGTCTTGGCCTCGAAGTACGATTTGTTGCCGTTGTTTTGGCTTGAAGGTGCACAAGTGCTAAGAAGTACGATTTGTTGCCGTTGTTTTGGCCTCGAAGCGGTGCCCAAGTGCTAAGAACTACGATTTGTTGCCGTTGTTTTGGCCTCGAAGTACGATTTGTTGCCGTTGTTTTGGCTTGAAGCGGTGCCCAAGTGCCAAGAAGTACGATTTGTTGCCGTTGTTTTGGCCTGAAGCGGTGCCCAAGTGCTAAGAAGTACGATTTGTTGCCGTTGTTTTGGCTTCAGAGCGGTGCCCAAGTGCTAAGAAGTACGATTTGTTGCCGTTGTTTTGGCCTGAAGCGGTGCCCAAGTGCTAAGAAGTACGATTTGTTGCCGTTGTTTTGGCCTCGAAGCGGTGCCCAAGTGCTAAGAACTACGATTTGTTGCCGTTGTTTTGGCCTCGAAGTACGATTTGTTGCCGTTGTTTTGGCTTGAAGCGGTGCCCAAGTGCCAAGAAGTACGATTTGTTGCCGTTGTTTTGGCCTGAAGCGGTGCCCAAGTGCTAAGAAGTACGTCTTGAACCCTGAACCCCTAAAGTCCGACACCTTCAAAACAACCCCCAAGCAAGAAAGACTCAAGTGGGTGTGGTGGGGTGGTGGGGTGGTGTGGGTGGGTGGTGGGTGGTGGGGGGTGGGGGGCACGACCCACCACCACCCCCACCCACCCCACCACTCCACCCCCACACCACCACCCCCCCACCCCCACCCCACCACCCCCACCCACCACCACCCACCCACCACCCACCACCCCCCACCACCCCCACCCACCACCCCACCCCAGCACCCCCACCACCCCACCACCACACCACCCCACCACCCACCCCACCACCCCACCACCCCCACCCACCCCACCCCCACCACCCCACACCCCACACCCCACCACCCACCACCCACCACCACACCCCACCACCCCCCCCACCCCACACCACCCCACCACCCCCACCACCACCACCCCACCACCCCACCACACCACCACCCCACCACACCCCCCCACCACCCCGCCACCCCACCACCACCCACCACCACCACCACCACCCCACCACCCCCACCACCCCACCACCACCCCACCACCCCCACCCCATCAAACAAAGTAACCATGCGAACGCATAACCATGCGAAAATAATCATGCAGCAGAAAGAGTTTGCCCCCATGCAGGACATCTCCAATGCACCAACAGCCTTTTTGATGGAAAACACTGCGTAATAGTTACGGTAAAATAAGCATAAATTCACCACAACATTAATTTTTTATTTACCTAATCAATTAACGCCGCTGCCGGGGCCGCCTCGACCCGCTCGGTGAGCACCGCGCCGCTTGTGCCACATCCGGACTGTTTGCGTCCCGAGCCCTTCCGCTGGAGCATGCAATCGCCCGCGTCTGCCGGGAAGGCGGCGCACGAGTTGCCCGCCACATCCGGTTCACTGACATGAACATTGATGTTCCGGTCAACGACGCGCAGTGCATTGAGGTCGTCGCAAGCGCTCCTGTGGGCCGCTGCCTGCGCAGGCTGGGTTCAGCGCTGGTCCGGTCGCCGCCATGCGCCGCGCCTTTGCGGCGTCCCTCCTCGAGCTGACGCTTGGTGGCGAGCTTTGATGAGCTTTGCGGGGCGGGAAAGGCACGAAGTCCTTGCCGAGGTCCGAGGTGGCCCTCCGCTGGTCGCTAGCCGCCTGCCGGCGCCTTGAGCCTAACCAGCCAGTCGCCCGCAGC